GGGATTGAGGCCTACTACTATGGATTGGCAAATTAATTGTCCCCTAATGCTAGAAATGCTCTCCTACTTATCATTACTAAATAAATCCAATATTTCAGTCATTAAGAATTCCACACTGGAAACAGCTGGACTTTCTAGATTTAAACCAGGGAATAAATTCACTAGCAAAGGTCTATAAAATAAGGTCCTAAGTCTCTGAAGGATTTCAGAACCAATCAATCAGTTCCTTATAAAGGAAAGAGTATTTATGGAAACTTCAAGAGTTCAAATTAGCTGTAGCCCAAAGAAAAAGGATTTCTTTCTCCTCCCTCTCTCTCTCTTTTTTTTTTTTTTTAATTTTCATTTCTCAAGGCTTAGAGTGTTACAAAATAAGAAGCAATTTCTGCTGTGTTTTCAAGGAATGGAATGATAGCAGAGCTCTAATGCTTAAAAATAGGCTGCCCTACTAATCCCACATCATATCCAGGTTATTGTGTTTGTTAATCTTGTTCACTACCGAGGCAGGATTTCCTGTCTGTGGATTTTAACATGTGATATAATCTCAGATCACAGCTCTTTTACTATGTACAGGGGGATATAAAGCCAGGGGATATGGACAGGGATGGGTTAAAGAAGTGAACTTTAAAGTAAAATAAATTTCTTTTAGAAATATGCAGAGTGAACAGGAGTTCCCATTAAGTAATGGGAAGCATATTGAAATGTGTTTTAATAAAACATGAAACAGATCTCCTAGAAATACCTCTTGTATGCATCTATGCTTTTATATTTAAAATCAATGCATATTAAGAGAATATTTTAACTGTGCATTTCAGATCAAGACACTGACAGTGCAAGTGTGGAATATCCACCACAGGTACAGACATTTAAAGGAAAGTTTCGATATCAGACATTTTTTAAGTTAAAGTATTCCTTATTAACTCTTCCTATAATGTTTTTCATTTCTTGACATTTGCAAAAGCTCATTCAATCACAATTTATGCTTTTTCATTATCTGTTATCTACTTATATTTAAAAGTTTTCTCCTATGAGCAGCTTAACCAAATACCATGATCACACTGGAGAGTGTCAGCAGTGCTGAGTCAGGCAGATCTTTTGCTCTGAGGTAATTTTGTAGATGTTCTGAGATACTCTATTTGAATGCAGGCAAAGGGCAGCCCTCATGCCCACAGCGTTTTTTATTTTCCAGTAATTCAACAAGCTGTATTCACTACACCTGGCAGCTCCCTTCTTGTTTAGTGAAACACTAAACACCAGTTTATGATTTTAATTTATATTTATTCAGTATATTGTTAATGAAAGGTATCATTAAAATAATTTAAATTACAACAATGTTCTCAATTTAGCATTCAAGATTCCAGCCTGCTGGAGCCAGAGGTTTTCTGCCAATATTACTCAGGAAACAACACAGTGTGAAATACTGTACATTAATTCTTTCAGTGTGATGGTGAGGTGAAAACCTTGGTTCAGATTGCATGGAAATCAGAGATCTCTTTTAGAGACCTTGGAGACGCCTGACCAATAGCACAGATGAAACCATCATTGCAATAATTCCACTGACACAGAAAAGAATTAAAATCAGAATTTTAGTTCTACTTGTACCAGCTACAGTATTAATATGACCAAAATATGCATACTGTGAACTACTTATTTTCATTTAAAAATATGAATAAAGAATAAAAATAAAAGAAGTATAAAAAATGCTTACAATAGAAGAATAGGAGACATCCTAAATAGGTATAGGAAATTTTTGTAGTTAATCATCACAATAAAAGTAAATTATTATAAATAACTCATGAATATTAAATGTTAATAATGGGAATATTGTTGACATTTAGGCATGATCTCAAGAAACTTCTCTTTTCATTCAATATTTTTCCATTATTTTTAATATTATTATTATATATATTATATATATTTATATTTATAATATAAAATATATTATATATTTTTATATTATATTATATTATATATACGCATATATTGTTATCTTTCAGCAGACAAATTTTGCAAAACATGTACTTCTAAGTCTAAATCTATTTCTTATGAACAATATTATATGTATAGAAATAATAGCACCTATTTAATTTTTAGTGTAGACAGGAGGTTTTTTGTGTGTTTTTTTGGTTTTGGTTTTGTTTCAGTGAAATAAATAATAAAGGGAAAAATCAACAACAAACACGTCGATGAAATTTTCAATCTGCCATAATTACAGAGAACTGAATTACCAAAATTTGGAGTTCTAAAAATCTGGACCCAGAATCATCCAGCCTATTATTTTCGACCACAAACAGAGCTGTGTTTCACACCTCTCCAAGCTTTACTGAATAAGAGGCACCATGTGGAGAACAGCCTCCAACAGCTGATAGTGAACAAGATGTGAGCAGCACCTTGGGTGGGCAGGGATTAAAACCCAAGGATGGGCTTTAGGAGGGCACTGCCCTGCCAAGCTGCCCTGGCACAGTCTGAGAGGCCTGGCAGCAGCCCTCCTCATCCCATCTGCCCCACTAGCCACACTCATTATATCTGTGTCTGTACCCAGCCATGCCCCTCGTTTCCTGTCCCTCATTTCAGAACAGGGAATATTCTACTCCTTGCCAATTTTTTATTTTTTTATTTTTTGGCACCAATTTCTGTGTCCAATTACTGGAAAAATGCTACAAAGTCCTTTGAAGAAAGATTGGGAATGTCACCCCCACCTTCTTAGCCCTGCAGTGTTCGTATTCCTGTCTAGAGCTGTAGTTGCCTGCTCTCTAACATGAAGGAATATCTGCCTTTCCCTTGAGCCACACTCAGTTCCATGTTTTACTGTAGACACACACAAACCCACTCTCCAAAATTAGGTTGGGAAGGAACTCTTTAACAGGTCACATTTTACAGGAGCTGTTTTGCAGATTACAGTCGAGCAAAATGTCCATCCATAATGAACACCTTTCATTGCTAACTAACATTTTAATAGAAGCCAGGCACACTTTTCAAGTTAGCCCATACTCATGAATTTAATTAAAAAACCTTTCATACCTTGACAGTACTGAGAGGTGATATTGCCTGTCAGCTTCTTCAGGTTAAAAGTATCTGAATTACAGATATATGGAACCATCCTCAAAAAAAAACCCCAAAACTATATACCAGCTATTAACAACACATATGCTATGTATATCATTTTACATAGCAGCCTGTTTTAAATTAATTTTAGTCCATTTCTAGGTATTAGTCATTAGATGGCAAAGTACCATAATATATGCACATTCTTTTTTAACAAAAGCTAATATTACACATTGCAGAAGGACAAAAAAAGAGAGAGGAGTGTTCCTTTAAACTATCATTATTTCACACAGAGTAGAAATTGTAGATATATATTTCAAGAAATCTCTTTACCCAATACAATGTAACTGCATTACCTGCTGAAAGAAACTCCATTTTAACTCCTGGTGACACTGAGCTTTGTTTTATGACCAAAATTATTCCAGTGACATGTAAAAATAACCTATATCCATAATTTCACCACGATGCTCAGTAGATTAATTTGCTACAGCAGTTGTTTTTTGTGGAAGTAGCTGGCCTAGTTATGCAAAACAGAAACCCCCCACATCAATTTTTGTATGGCATTTCTAGCAGTTAAAGAGAAATGGAAGAAATTCTATTTTCCCCCAAATTCAGGCTATGTTCAAGTTTCTATGGAAACCTTGAACACCTATCTCTACAGAGATAAGCAGCAAAGGGTAAAACTGTTCTCCCTGTTTTTCACCATCTCCTCTTTTCTCTCTTTGATCCATGTGCAAGCGTTTTATGTATAATTCACTTTCTGCTGTCCCTTATTTCTCTTTTCACTCTTCATGTATTAGAGGGAAATCTGGGGAAACTTCCCTCATTATTTGCTTCCCATTGGCTATTCAGATGATTTTGAAGTGTGATGACTAAAATTTAAACATTTTCATGTGTCTGGTCTATATGATTTTACACAATCATTTCTCTCAAGTCACCTGAGCAGAGAAACCTACTAGAAACTCTAACAAAAGTACTTAGAACTGGCCACTATAACTTTGATGATCCTATGAGATTTTCCTCCATGGCTCCTTCCAAACTCTGGGTTAAGCTCCTGTAAAATCTCCGCGATCGTACCAGACACAGCCCAAAATGGATATAACGACACACATCAAAAAGGTCCCTAAAGAGCCTTTGAAGAGTTGCATTTACTTCTCTTGAAATGAAAGACTACAAAATGTGTGAGCTAAGCATAAAAAACGTTATGTACTAAAATGCAGTTTTATCTGTAGACCTCAGATGACTGAGGAAACAGACTAGAAAACAGCACAAATGCAATTTGCATTTTGTCATCTAGATTTTCTTTCATGCTTCTCTCAACCCAGGTGCAGATTAGCTCTGCCCACACACATAAAGCACTGGAAATTTCAGTTTCATTAGAGCCAGTTGGGGAATGGTTTGGAAAAATATCTACTTTTTGAAGGTAAAGAGTACAATTTGCTACATGAAGTGCTATAAGCACCGACTAATTTAGGGTCTGTAGATCATTCTAGAGCTTGCCTTCAAAACAAGGTGATCTTCTTACACCAGATGATTTTATAGATGCTAGGTAATGCTTGTCTTCAAAAGTTGAAATTGTTCTTATTATTATTACACTTCTGTAGTTTGGTAAATTTGTCCCACTCCTTCCAAATATTTTCTTGGTGGCAGTCACATAAATGACAGGACTACTGCACTAGCCCTGTTAGACCTGCGTTACACCAAATATTTTAGCAACACAACTTGTAAGGAACAGGCACACCACAAGGCCATTTTTGTCACTCTCTATTTTCATCCAACAAAGTGTCTAAATATTTTTTAAAAAATTGTATGTTTTTTTGAATGTGATACTCAAAGTACGGTCCCGTCAAGAAATTAGAGTGGTACTGGAGCACAGTGCAAAGATGCCAAGTTTTCATGCTTATTTAATATCACTGTAATTTTAATTTCTCACAATCAGCACAACAGTTTTTCTCACTTATTACTACTGGCACATTTCAAAAGGAAGTATACTTTTTTTCTAGACAATATCTTTTTATCCATTGTATTATAAATATTGATCTTGAAGGTATAGTTCACAACCTGTCAATGATATACCAATTAAAATGAATAGACAGCTTCAATGCCAATCTGACAAACTGTGAACCAAACAGCATTTCCTTGTGATATTACACAAACCTTATACAGAGGAAATAGTTGATAAAGATAAATATTACAAATGTTTGAAAAAAATGGACACATATCTTCAAAAGCCCTTGATTAAGCCAATAAGTGACATTACATCTCCAGCGGTACATGTACTCAATTCACAATAACTGTCCTGTTTGCACATCAAATCCATTTTACCATGATGATTCCAGAACCTTCCCTGTGGCACTTCAGTACTTTTCAGAGGCTCACCTCTTTCCTGAGGCTTTGGAAAGGAAATAACCACTGCTAACGTTACTTCCACTGCAAAGCTTTTCTTTCTGACGAGGGTGACGCGTCTCCTCTGATGAATTATTCACAGACTCGTGTGACTAAGCGTGCAGCTGATCTGAAGTGCCATTTATGTAAGAAGTGTGGTACTAACAAAATGGCTGCATATTTTCTCCTAAGCTACTTAATTAGAAATGTTGAAAGCACTCTTTTTGCAGATGCAGCTTATTTCTTTGTGATCAAACACAGTTAAAGGATTTGGTACTTCCCTTTGACGCTGTAAATTAGACAAATTTTTCCACGGAAAGTCTTTTAAAAATTATCACAGTACTTCTAGTCCACATGTAAATCAGGAAATCTGTGTGGAAATAAACCATTAAAGCCATCCATTTGAATGATAGAGCTACTATAAAATGCATAAAAACGCAAGTCATATTGATGTCATTGCTTCTTAACATTTGACATATTAAAAAATGGTGTTTAATTGGATAAAACTTTAGGAAACAGAAGGCAGAACCTACTGGACTGAAGTTGTTAAGGTTAAAGTAATTCCTTAGAAGTGCCCTTGGTGGTACGAAACCACCAACCCAAAAAGTTTAAACTAAAGAATTCTTGAATATTTACAGGGTAGTTTTTCACTTTTTCAATATTTCTAGATCTGATTTCCTTTCCTGGGAAAGGCTTAGCAACCTGTCCCCAGGAAGGTCTGCAAGATGCTTATGTATAAACTTTTTACCTTCCTAGGGGAGCATTCAGTTACATTATGTGTGGTGCATCAAAGCAGAGCACATGTAGGTGTGGGCAGCTCCTCTGTCACCTGAAGGGTAACTTATTAATGGGGCCAGAACTGTCCTGCCACATCAATTTCATAAATTCTTTCCTATTCTGAGAACTATGCACTCAATTCTAACTGCACATTGCATCATTTTTAACTTCCCTGTTTTTAAATCAATTTGGAGTTATTTACATAATTAATTACATTAAAATCATGGTGGTGGGTTGGAAGCTTCAGTGGTGCCATCTTTTACAGGCCATGCAGACATCAGCACTGAGAGTGCTGCTGAGTGTTTAGAAAACCCTGACAAGGAAAATTCCTTGCAAAAAACAAAGAGAAGTGTGGCAGTGCAGCACTTCTGCCTCACGAGTACTCTGTCAAAGAACGCAGACGTTGAAGAGATTTTAAATATTGATATTATCTTGGGTTGTGGTTATTACACAGCAGAAACATTTTGAGTGACTGAGCTGAGGATGACTCATAGACATCATTGATGAAGTAAGGAATGGCTTTTAGTATGTTGAAGTTTACCAAAATCCAAGCAGACAAGGCAAAGAAGAAGCTTGCATTTTAGAGTTATCGAGATATTCAGATAGTGTTGGGCAACAGAAATTGATAGAAATTGAGGCAGAAAAGGAAACTTTTCTGGTTTCAATAAGTGTCTCATCCACAGGATTATCTCTGCTCTGCAAAGGAGGTTTACAGACCTATCTATATATCCATATATATATATCTACAACTATTTAGAAACAGTGTTTCCAACTAATGAGATAACTTCATTAAATAATATGAAGCACCTTTTTTGTTCTATATAGAGTACATGTTAGGTCACAAACATTCATATTAACCTGGACATGAAAACAGCTAATTCCTTTCATTTTTTCAATACCCTATTGCACGGACCCTATTATCTAATTATTTATTTAGTTATTTGTTTTGAGTACATATTAGTGATTTATCCTTTGATCTTTCTCTTCATTGAATTTGTTTAAAACTGAACTGAAAAAAAAACTGAACTGAAAAAACAAACAGTCACTTCTAATTTTAAGGTCTTTATCAGTCATAGACAAAATTAAATGCTTGTTTTGGCAAGTTAAAACACATTAAATAAGCCCTGTTGCCTCCAGTCTGAACTCACTGCATGTAATACAATGACACACATTAGTTTCTACACCAGGGAGTTAACATGATGAGTTCCTGCAGGCCAGTACAACTTGTCACTTCTCACTGGCTTTCCCTTGGACAAAATTGTTTCCAGTTTTCTCTAGATGACACAACACAGTAGAAAGCTGAAGGAAATTAGCACTTGTCATCACAAGGGGTTTTAAGCCATTTAATTAAAAAGGGCAGAAATGGGCAAAAACCAAGCCAGACTTACACTTTTCTGCTTTTTGTTAAAGCAGACACAACTCGGTATGGGAGAGTGTAGAACTTGGTCTAATGATGCACACAACCTATTGACAATTGCCTTTAAATGAGAAATACATTCTTTTTCTATTCTGCTCTCCTACTGAGCAATAGTAAACTGTAGCCATTTCCACACAGGTTTATAATTAATTCATTGAGACTGCATGACCCTAATCTCTGATGCTGCATAATCACTGAGATAACTCATATAACACACAAAATATTGATGAAGCATAACACTGAGCAGCTAGCTACTTAACTTCCAAGCCCCTGGATCAGTGTATTAATGTGAGATGACACAGTAAGTAAAACAGTTACTGAGACTAATCACTGGCACATTAAAAGTATTAGGCTTTGGGTTGAATCTTATGAGTTAAGCCACCTAAAAAACAGTTTGAAATATTACATATGTGTGCATGTGTATGACTTTTTTAGATTGCTATAAAGTGCTTCACTGTTTTAAACTGCATGAAGAGACTGACATAAAATAATTAATAGTAGAGGAATTCTTGTGTGTGCTGGAAGACATGATACCTCGATTATGTTAACATATATGTGGGCACTGGGAAAGGCAACTAATATAAAAAACAAGACTCTTATACACTTTCAGGGTTTTCAATTTCAAATATTCATCGCTTTAGTTTGTCACTGAACTAACTTCAGTCCTTTAGTTTCAATACATTACCACCTTTGCAAAGTGCAACTGAAATATTTTCTGACAACCTCTATGTTCATTTCTTTCCTTGAATCACTCCTGACACCAATCATTCAGTACTGGCCATGAGCATGATGCTTTTTCTCCTTAGCTGGCTGAGAGATCATAAGCCAAAATCAAAGCCTTTATCATTCTTGGAGAATGTATCAATAAAAAAAAAACACTTACGTCAAGGAGGTTTGAAAACATCAAGCACTTACATCAAGGTGGATATGAAAAAATTATATTATATTTGCTAATTTTCTAAGCAACATGCAAGATTGAAGACATTCTTTTTCTCTATTTTTTTCTTTTTTTTTTTATCAGCTCTTGATTTACAGTCAAACACTCATTCTCCCTTCTTGAGATTCTCTATGTTCTGTCTCAGGACATGCCAAAGATTCATCAACACCCCAGAAGGAAGGTCTCTCCAGGACCAAAATGTGATGCATCTTTCTTACTTTCCTACCTCAAACACTGTCCCTATTTTTATTTTGTCTCACCTGAAGAAAGTGCCAAGTAATAAAGCCCATTATCACTGGAACAGCTGCTCTAATGCTTTAAGTTTGAGAGTCCCCACACTTTCTGCTGAAGAGGAGGTGAAAGAAGTGTAAAGCCCTACAGCTTTCTGGACATCACACAGACAAAGATGCTGACAGCAAGTCATAGAAACACATATGGAAAAGAACATTTTGAATATTGAAATGATACAAGTGGCATGAAGCATCTCAGGATGCACTAAGTGTGAAATTTGTCACTTTGCCACATATCTAATTCATACCTTCTTCCCCTGCTTGAGAAAAATACTCTGAAACAATTCACATTTGTTACATCCAATTAACAACCCCAGAGCATTTTGACACCACCAGCTCTGCAAATGGCATTTAGTGATATGACTGAATTAGAGAATGGTGTGGCATTGCTCTCTGCTAAGAGAAGAATATTTTCTCCATTGAATAAGTACTGCAAACCAGTCTCTGTGAAGAATTTGCAGCAGGAAGGAAACACCATTCTCAATTTAGAAAAAGCCCAAGGAGTTTTGAACTTGCTCAAGAACATACAACTGAAGTGAATATTGAAGGAACAGGGTATGTAATTAAGAAATCCCAGAGTAAGAGTGTAACATGGTTTTCTTTCAGCACTTAGCCCACCACACACTTAACCTTGGACCTCTCCACCCTGCTTCTTCCTCCTGCAGAATTGAGAATGAGGATGGCTGACAGCTCTCTGAGCTCTCCATTCCTTCCTGTGGAACTCAAGTGAACTTCAAGTTCACTGAGATGTGAACAAAATTTTTAAAAATCTATTTGTTTATGTGAAGTTCCTCCATACTTAGAGGCACAAGTTGCAGTTAGAAGTGTAGGCTACAATGAATAATGAATAACTGTCCAAACCAGCTCACATCAAAATGCTGGATCTTACTGCTCCTCAGGTTTATCATAGCAGCTTCTAGGATTTTGGTTTTATGGTTATGCAGTTTCTTGAATCGATACACTGCACATCTAACCTGTCATTTGCAGCCTATATTTCATTTAATATTTTATTGTTCTACCTGGAAAGCCTAACCTCTTCAGCTAAAAGCAAAAGTTATTAGTGTATGATCTTTTTTGTCATTAAAGAAGAAATTCTGCCCAGTTGAACACAAAAAGACCCTTTGTCATTATCTTCTCCAGTGGGTACCATGGTGTTGCCAGGCTTTGTAAGCTCATTGCAAGAATTAATTCCTGTAAAGTCTTGAGAAAAATATTAATTAAATGGTCAAAATGTCTCCAGCAGGACATTACCACCATCAGGAAAACAAAAAGTGGTAGACATCTTCAATAAAACAGAACCAAAAAATCTCTACTGTAGACTTATTAGAAAATGGTCAAGTGCTGAACAGTTTTTAATCCATAAACAGGACATAAAGAGAAAAGCAAGGCCATGTACATACTCTAAGAGCTTTAGCATTGTTCTTGTATCCACATAAATATTTTCTAAATTTTTTATTTTCTTTTGAAAAATCCCAATAAATATACCATACATGATGATTTTCACGAGATCAATACTGAATTATTTGCCTAAGACAAACTAGATATATGTCTGTATCTGGCATTTCCCGTGGTGAATGGACTTTGAATGGATAACATGTTAAAAAAAAAAAAAAAATTGAAGTCAAAACCAAGAAAACCTCTGCTTGTAAGGAGCAGTTATTTGCTGTAGTGTCTGTAGCACTTTGAACAATGGCCTCAGACTGATGGATCATTATCTGCCAGCTGTGAAGCTTCAAACATTGTTAAGCATCCTTGTGCTTTAAGTGTGAAAAGAACAGGATGCTAAAGAAGCTACATAATTACTAAAATACCACTGTAAAGGTTTAGAAGTTGTAAAGATGGCTGTACATACCTAAAGAAATGCAGAGTTCATTTACATACTGCAGGACTAGTCTTGTGCCAAATTTCCCTTAAGAAAATAAGACCAAATATAAATTACATATCAGCACCTTGGTTTTACTAGTTTGGTATTTCAGCTGTATTTTGTCACAAACTTTTGCAAATATTAATTGTATTTACTGTAAATATTGTAAGTTATTGTGAAAAACACAACAGAAATTGCTCTCAGTCCATCAAAGATATCCTGGTACAACCCAGTTTCTTATAAGGGGATGTAACCATGATTTAATAGTTTATAGCAAGCACACACAATATAGATCTGAGAAACAGATTCTGAATTGTATCTTTACTCAAACCACTCAATACTCAAGATATAATTAAATATCAGTAACATGGCCAGCCTGCATGATAATGACTTTTAAAATAAAGGAACAATATCATTCCTGAAACAAGGTAAAATTGATGTTGTAGTTTACTTTGCTTTCAGTTGTAAATGAAAAAGGAATTGAAACAAATATTTTGATAAATGTACAAACCACCTTTCAAAGAAATACTGTGCTCAGGTACACATAGAAACATGATTTTATGGGAAGAAAATTTGTGTTATATAGATGTGTGCTGACTGTTTTCCTGGATAACACAGTAAATATTTAGGCAGATAGAAAGACAATTATTTATCTCCAGTTCTTTTTAAATAAGAAGCCTGATAATAATGACAGAGAAACACAAAACATGTCATCAGCTTTCAGTTCAAGCCTCAGGATGATTAGGATCTTTTTGTAGTGGCTTATAACTTAATTTTCGTGTATGCCACAAAATTCAGATGAAGCCCAGTGAGAGACTAGAGAAAGGCTATAAACAAATTACAATCCTCATCTTGAGCATTTTAAGACTAAAATTATTATTTGTTTTTCATTTGATCTTTTGAGAAACTGGGTACTCTAACTAATTAAAGGGAACGAGATACCTCAACATAGTTATTGAGTCCCTCCTCAAAGGATGGTTTTGCTGGTTATGATGTAATTTACAGTCCAATATATTAAGGGTATCAAAACTGCTTTTATCACTGCTTCATCTTGCAGTGGGAGTTCAATTTCTGTTGAGCAGGATTACCTGCCCTGATTTCCTAAACTAGGTCTGGCCAAGCACAGGCACAGGAAGAAATTGATGCAGACACCCCAAAAAGATCCCAGGAAAAACAAATATGTAAAACCTAAATTGAACAATTTTATTCCAAATGAAAGCTGACCTTTAATATAATCTAGTTCTGAAAAATTCATATGAACTGTGACTAGTTTTGTTCCCTTGTCCCTTTTGATTCTTTCTTAAGCTAACCACAAAGGGTTAGGTCCCCAAAAGACTTTTGTCTAAAAATTCTTTCAGCCACCCAATCCTCTTGCCTTTTTACTAGAAAAAAAGGCCACTTCCAGAGACTGTAAATTATTTCTGACCTAACAAGATATCTCACTGCACCTCAGAGCACTTGTCTCATAAATAATATGGGATTAAATGATTCTTACGTTGAATCTCAGACTGTTCAGCAGCGTAAGGAAACAATGCTTTCTGTCTGTTGACTTCCACAGTACTGTCAGATTTTTGAAGACTTGTATCAGTGCAACAATTAAAGGACACAGATGGAGCTAAAAATTCCCTGGAGATCACTCCAGCTGGGTTCTCAAAGCTCTGAAATTGCATGAACTCACCTGTGAGTGAGATATCCCAGTGCCAGTCTCAGGTGAGGTCAGGGCAGCTCCAAACCCTGCTCATTCACCCTCACCAGGGATGCTGCTCCACAGCATGCACTCCCAGGGAGCAGAAAGAGGCTGAAAGCTCATTCTTTAACTCAGTTTTAATACATTAATGGCCTGATAAGTTTAAAAACAAATAGTAGCAAGCTGCACTCTATAGAACTCACCTTGAATGGAAAACATCCCTCCAGACAAGTGTATACAAAAACTAACAGCTTGTTTTTGCTGCAAAGGAAGTATCAGCACTTCTATTATCTGTGGATTTGCCAGTAGAAGTAATTTATTTTTTTTTTTTTAATCTGAGACTAGGACTAATCAAGGGGAAAAAAATCTATTTCTTTTAAGGGAAATTTAAATGGCATTTCTTTTTCTGTCAGCTTTCTCTGTAAACTTGAGTTCTTTCCAGCAATTTGAGCTCAGAACATGGGAGTATGATTTTTTTCTAAAGCAAAGATGCTTTCCTTGACAGGTAAGTTTTTCAAGTTCTTGCAGCTTTATTTTAAACAAATTCTTTGTTCCCTAGCTACATATTAATATTGTGAGAATGCTCTTTCTGTTTCAGAGAGAGAATTGCAAATACAGCTGCATATAAATTACATCAGCAGGTGACAGATTTCACAAGTTGGCCATAACCAAAATGTTAAAATTTGTTGTTTTTCTAGCCCAGGAATCATAGAAACATAACTTTCTTCTTTAGAAATTGTGATTATTTGATGTGTCATGTCCAATAAAATTTAGGAGAAAAGCCATGAGAGTTGTAGCTGTCTCTGTGTTAATTCCCACAGATCAAACCAGGGGATACATTCAGATTAGAGTCAGGCTGTAGAAGGGCAACTAAAATTATTCACAGTTTACAAGCTGGTTAATAAACACCTCAGTTAAATCCATAGCACTGATACATCAATTAATCAAAGTAAAAAAAAACACTTGCAGATGCCTCACAGAACAGTAATTAAAGATTTTTTGTTTGTTGGTCTGGTTTTTTGGGGTTTTTTATGTATATTTGGTTTTCCTAGCAGATTTCTAACCAGAATAAGTTTAAAAAATGTTTTCCTCTCCAAAGGAAAGCTACATAAAAACACTAAGGTTTTTTAGAATTAAACTGAGGGATCAAATCTTTGCGAGGTGGTGGACACAGTTGAAAGGTACTGTTGTAGAAGTTTGGAATAAATGCATGCAGGTAAGATTGGAGAAAGGTCAAAATAAACCCAGGAGGATTCTTTTTTTCATGTAGCTGAAAACTCTTCCTTCTTACTTCATTGTGTGGAGGTTTATTTGGTAGAGCAGACTAAGTGCAAATCTAACTGCTAAAGGATTAAAGAGAAAGATATAGAAATCTCAAGAAATAGACAATTAATAAGAATTTTAAGGATGTGTTTCTCTTCCATTTCTGAGGGAGCAGTAAGCCAGAACTAGGTGCAAAGCACACAGTTTTTTTAAAAAAATGCATCACTAATTTTTTTCCATATAAACTGTCCCACAAATGAAAACTCTTCTCCCAAGCAGTGACAAAGATTCACATTACCTGTGTCAATATTGCCTACAGATTACTGATGGCTCCTCACTGCTCCTTTGCACCATGGAAATCTGTCACAAGAATCATCAGGAAAAGAGCCACTTCAGAGGAACCAGGCATCTCTGATGTCCCTGGGATCCCTGCATCTTCTCCCTTCTCTCTCTGGGTAGGGAGAGAAGGAAGGGGAGCAGCAGCCTTTTTCACTTCTACCCCTTAATTTCAATTTACCTTAATGTATTGTTAGGTTTATCACATAAAGTTTATTTTAGTTTATGAGAAACCCATCTTAAAATGCAGGACTATGGCTTATTTAAGAATCAAAAAAATGCAATACAGAATTATAGTGAAAACAGGACCTCAAAATCCACACAGACTTCACAGCCCTGAGCCATTTACAGATCTCACTTTAATGGAAACATTAAAGTTTTTTGGAACTCTCACATGCTTCCTTTCCCTGGGAGATTAAAGCTCATTTTGAAAACTAAGTGCCAGACACATCACCCTTTACAATATGCATCGTACCCCGAACCTTTGAGTGCTGAAAAGCAGCGTGGGACACACAGAGGACCCCTCTTGTACAAATCAGTCATTTCCTATTTCTATAGGGAAACAAAACAAGAGCCATTATTCTGCTGAAGCTGTCTAGGGTGTTCAGTGCTGCATGATGAATCTCTGAATAATTTCTTTGGAGGATGGAATAATTTCTCTTGGCGCTGATTGAGAGTGAACCAGTCCACTTTGTACTGATACAAATGAAGGCCAGGGATTAATTCTGTTTTTCCAAGTTTTCTCTTCTACTAATCACCAGAAAGGGTTTGCTAAAATAAACCTAATGACATTTTTAAATCTGTGAATTACTAATTATTGATTTAGAGGTGTTTCATTTACTGCTCTCAAACAGAGGCTCATGAATGGTTGCATGAGGAATGAAGGTGTTACCACATCGGAAAATTTCCACAGAATTCCTTTCACTTGGAACTTCATTACTTACACTGAATATAAATTCACTCATAAAAGTTGAGAAAGGAATACAAAACAATTTGGATCTTGCAAATAGTTTCCCAGCACTGAAAGAAATGAAAATTTCCATCCAGCTTGCACTGTGTTTGGAGAAGAACTTATGTAGTAATAAGAAATTTTACAGAATATGGAGATGAAGAAGAATGGGAAAAACTCAGAGAATTAAATGAACATTTTAAAAATAACAAGGAATGACAGCAAAATGAAGGGAAGGCATTTAGTCCATCTTAGTTGTGAAAACTTATCCTCATTTGCATGAAGGGGTATGAAATCAATCCCAGCATGTCAGTCACCAGCGTGAAGAAACTGTTCTAGCAAACACCAGGTCTTTATTGTCCTTTTCAACCTAACCAGCCCTGCTTTCTACAAATATTTATCACAAGTCAATCCTAGAGCAAATGTATTTTTCCATTTCAATTTCTTCAAGTTCACTCTCGAAATAGGGATTTAATCAAAAGAATAATTTCAAGAATCCTCTAAAGGCAAGAACTTTTTGTACTTCACTGCACCATACGAGTAAGATTAATTTCCTACTATTGATCTTCTAAGAGCCCTTTTAATAATGCTACAAATTATATGTTAATAGAAAGTTCAAATTTCCATTATATGTCTGGAAGAATTGTGATAATAAAGAAAACGGTATGAGGAATATGGTCTAAAAGCACTTAAATAGAAACCTGGTTATTTCCATTTTGAGAGGTGTGGTTTTTTCCTAAGCTTTAGCAATAAACCACTGAAAAATGAAAGAAAAATCTAATAACAGCAATTAAATAATTCTAGAAATAATAATAAAAAGAAAGGCTTGTGTTCTGAGCTCTCTTACCACAGATTTTGGGAAAAGTCACTGTCACATTCAAACCCTCATAGTAACTTAAAGACAAGCCATATGAAAGGCATCTATTCCCCAGTTCCTTTTTTAGCTCTGGTTCCATACAGGTGTATTATACCCAGACAAAAGCATACAATTCACTCTGTAAGGTACTTATTCATGAGCACACTCAGCCAGATGAGAAAAAAAATCATATCTGAAAGTAGGTAGGGAAGTTTAAACACCTTCTTGAGGGACAGGGAAAGGTGGAAAAAGAGGGAAGAGTAAGATAAATTGGAGAGCCTCATAAGAAATTTTAAAGGCACCACATCTTAATCCTTGAAACAGCAGCTTTTCAGATTTCACTGAAATTTCTGGCCAAACACTTTTCTCAGTAGCACTTAGAATTGAGGGCCAAATTATTAAATACTTGAGACTGTGCATGAGAAATTAGTTTTACCTGTATTTTCTACCCGTTTTTCTATGCAACTAATGGTACTTGATTTTTTTTTCTTTTTTAGAGCATCCTCATTCAGGTAGTCAGGAAGAATTTAAATAAGATACCTACAAAAGAAAGAAAAATTATCTTCATCAATCTGCCAGAGAAGGGAAATTGGAATTGTTACAGCTTAAAATTTTATGCAGGTTTTATTAGACTCGGTAGAAGCTTCTCAATAAAAGATTGCTTTCCATCTAGAAAGGCTGGAGACACAATCCAGAAGGTGAAGCAATCATTCAGCTCTTATTGGCATTTTACATATTCAGGCTGTCTTTTGCTGTTTGGTTACAGAGTCAGAGAGGACTGTGATCATAAATGAGCAGTTTTGGGAAGCAAAGCTGCGTTCTCTCCATAGTCCCTGAAGGGCATATTCTGTCAGGAGGATTCAGAAGAGAACTATGGGCAGTCTCCATTTGCTTTATAATATTTGTGCCATGTGGAGTGAAAATCCATCCCAAATCAGCCAGCAATCGAAAGGCAATTTCTAATACCATGTTATTATAACCTCCTTCAAACACCTGATGAAGCATTGTTTTTATTGCTAACCATATCCCCAGCGATCCCACATTTCCAATGTGAGGAAACTTAAGTACCATTAGGAACACTGAGAATCATGGACTGCCTTTAAAATCTTTGCACTGTCCTTTAATTTCTAGTCACTTTCCAACAATCAGATTAAATCATACCCTTACCAGCTTTAGTTCAATTATTACGATTTATGAAGACAAAAGGAAGGATTTTTTTTTTTCAAATTTGATTCTACAATCTCCAGTATCATTTTAACAAAATCAGCTAGTTCATTAAATCTTTATTCCCTGGAATTTTCCATCAATTGAGCCCAAAATGTTTTAGTCCTCTGCTAAAATGCTTAAGATCTGGGTATCTTTCAGCAGTGAACATTTATTGCTTTACAGATGGACAATGGCTAATGCAAGCCTCATGTAAATGCATTATTACTCATGAATATGAGCTTACCTTTTTAAT